TTAAGAACACAACTTAAGCAAAATTAAATATATTAAATATATGATGTTTATTTTGTCATGTTTAACCATCCAAAGATACTATATAAGAAAGACATATGGCAGATGCAGAATTCCAAAAAAATTATGATAATTGAGCTATTTCTAAAATCTGCATGAGTTATTTCTATGTCTTATTTTCCATATAAATACAAAACCAAAAGTTTCCTTTATTTTAGTAATTTTTTTATTTTGGATTTTTATATTTCTTGGAATATATCTAACTTGTCACATATTAATATTATTTTATTATACTCTTACCCATCACTTTATAATTTACAGTGTACACTGAACCTGAAATGCTTTATCCTGATGACATAGACACTTTAATAATTATCCTGTCGATAAGCAAAATTTACACTAAAATTGTAAGTAATAGTCTCAGTAAGTAGATAGTAAGTAAGAAAATAGTAAGTAATAAGTTCGTATTAGTCAGTTTGGATTAGATTACACTGTGGTAACAAACAGCCCTGCAACTGTAGTAGCTACAATGGGAAGTGAATTTCTCACACATGTGGCATGTCTAGGTCTCTGAGACACAGGTCCCTTCTTCAGCTGCTGTGGCAGACGGGAAAAGGTCTTGCGAGGGCAATCAAAGATGCTGAGCCAGAAGTTGAGTACATCACTTCCACATATTCCTAACGGACCAGAACCCATCACAAGGTTCCTTTAATCCACAAGATTCCAGAAAAGACATTCCACTTGATGGAGACCAAAAATATTTGATGAACGACATCAATGATGTTCATATTCACTTAGCTGATAACAAAAAAAGCAAATATATGGATGAGGGGTTTAGAAAGCAATTTCTTCTTTGCTTTCTTTTTATTTTTTAAATAATTTAAATTACAGGGATGAACTCCCTGATACTGTATTTCTAAAAACAAAAACAAAAAGAAAACACAAACCTTCTTGATTACATGTGCGTTTTTTCCTATAGCTTTATTTTTCATAGAACAGTCTGATTTGGGTTACAGTAATGTTGGCTTGATGAAATGTTATGTAGGAGGCAGCCGGTCTTTTCCATTATCTGCACTAGCGCACAACACTAAGCTTCTCTAGACTTGAAAGAGAACTCACTCCCCTGTAGGGTACTTGTGTCTTTTTCGATGTTCAATCCTTAATCTTTTTTTCAATTCTTTCCCATGGTACTTTACTCACATTTTATCCTTTTTATTTGAGTCATTTTTGGTATTTTATCTTGTGCTAGAAAATCACCCATTTGCTACAGACTTTAAGATTTGCGGCCATAGAGTTGATGTTTTCATGTATAGTCATTTTTCCCCAAAATAGCTTGAGTTTTTAATGATGCCACTGAGCTGCATTGAGAAATATGAGCCTGTTAGAAACAGAACAAAGAAAGAAAGAGAAACCTTTTGCCCAGAGGCCATACAATGTATATTCAACATGTGCCTGGCATCCAAGAAATCCTTCCAGAATAAATAAATAACCTACGCTTTTAAATAAAAAAATTGCTCTATTGTGAGGTTTTCATTGTTTATGTAAAGTTATATTATTTTTGTGATAGGGATAATTTCTCTTTCATGTTACTAAACATCTATAACATTTTTCTTTCCTAGTTCCTTTTATCAGAATCATAAACAGTTTGTCTAGCTTATTGATATTAATGAAGAACTCACTCTTGCTTTAAATTGTTTATAACACTTGAATTTTTTTAATAGCATCCTAATTTATTTTTGTTTTTTCTAACTTTTTAATCTTATT